GTAGTTCTATAGGGTACGGAGAGTTTAGCTACCTTCCTAGTGCTCCCAGGACTCATGGCCTTCTCTTCTCAAAGCTGTGTTTCCATGCCAAGAAAGAAACAGGAAGAAACCTATTTTCTTTTTTATTATCGAGTCAGGAGCAAATGGCCTCAGCTCAGACCTGGAGAAACAATGGTAGAAATTGAATTCCTCCCTACGTGTTGACAATAGGGATTTGAACTGGATTCTTGGGATTACTCTCGCAAAAACTGGAGCATCGAGCTTTGTTTCTATCCTGCTGGTTGGAATTTTTTCCATAATGCTACTTATTGCCAACAGTGGCCTCTCTCCTTGTGCATACATGCCTTACACCATGCCGAATGGGATATACTGTCCTTGTGCTGAAGCATCCAGCTGTACTTGGCAAGCGCCAGGGTTCGGTCCCGTCCCCATCCTGGGTAACCATGTTAAGTTCCTGAAAAGTAACACGGGAGGAAAATTCAGGTGTTGGATTATCTTTGTGTTGTTACAGCATTTGGAATTGCACCATGGAGCATGCACAGAAATATTAAATTTGTCTCCCACTGGGATGCAGAAGGTCCACCTTCTGCTGAGAAATCGTGTGGGAGAATGCTCCATCATTTACTAGAACAGCTACATAATGCGTTGGCTCAGTGCAGCTGTCGCGTTGGTCTCTGATACAGGTTTCATGCTGGCTTCATTTGCCAGTTGTGTTGTTCGGTTGGGAGGTTTACAGAAAAGGGTCTTGAGATCGAGGGGTGGGCCTGGGAGTGGGGACACTGATCAATCCCTGGTGCAGGACAGGAGTTCGTTGCTGTCCTCTTAGTGGCATCTCCTTTGTCAAGACGTAGCCAAGATGTGAAATTGAAATCGTAGTTCTCTTTATTTAAAACTTCTAATAAACACTCAAACGTTGAAAAGTTTTGCTCTTCCCTCCCACTAAAAGAGATGTATGTATCCAGTAGGCCTGTGTCATTCAGTGTTCCACATTTTGGGGGACATCTTTCGGTGAGCTTTAAACTTTGCCGTCTGTTCTCAGTTTGCATCTTCTCCCAGTCTTGAGGCACCGATCCAACAAGTAGTGCCCACAGTTTCCTTAGGATGCTGTCCTACCTCTGGGATAGGGATGTCCCCAAGTAAGGGTCCCAGTGGATAGAAACAGTACCATGGGATTTGAGTCTAAATACCAACTCGCTGTTCACATGTCCTACTCAGAAACGAACATATTGCTGCTTGTTGCCTGATTGAGAGCATTGTAAGTTTCTGTTCAAAGAAATAAAGGAGAAAATGAATTAAATTCAACTAAGCACTGAGTGGAATCCAAAAACACATTCTTCCAACTAAATTCTACCTTTGTGATATGGATTGAAAGTACTTCGCAGGAAAACAGTCAGTACCCCTGAAAAGGGAACTGCAGCGTTCATGGTGATTTGTGCATTTTTTTTAAATTGTCTAAGGATGCTTTTACTGGGCTGGTGTCACAACACGTTACCCTACCGGGTCCACTTGGGATTGATGTTGGCGTCTTTGGGTCAGGAAAGTGAACTGTGCCAAGAAGCATCTTTTAGTGACATGAATGGATCCTATTAATGCAGTTAACTGAGGAAATTGTGCTGATGCTTTCTTAACTGACAAAAAGAGGCTTTGTCCAACCAGAATTGTTGAAACTGGTGCTATTTTCTGTTGCACTGGGATTCTGATGAGCAGGGATTGGTGGTTTTTTCCTCCCTGGCACCCTTAACAACATGGCTGTCTTTCCTGGTGTGTGGTCATAGCCCTTTTGTGATAGATTACTTAGACCCCTGGGTGCAATAGCCTTTGTACCTCCCCCAGAGAAATCAAGGAGAGGCAAAAGGAAGCGCAGAAATCCTACTTGCAGAATCTTTCTTTGACGCTGATTTGCCATGAATTCTACAAGTATTCACCTGATTCAGACTTGACAGAAACCAGTTGTTGTGTACAGGGCAGGTTAATAAAGTCTCTTTCTCACAGTGAATTTGCATGTCCTAGATTCGGGTTATTACTGGAGCATCCATCACAGTCTTCCATGCTCAGGATAGAGAAAGATAGCATTGGATATTTTTAAATAAAACTTTGTTTTTAGTTTACAGATTTGCAGCCATTGGGGGAACATCAGTGAGGTTATGCCATCTTTTTGGACCAGGACTGTGTGTGTGTGTGTGTGTGTGTGTGTGTGTGTGTGTGTGTGTGAGAGAGAGAGAGAGAGAGAGAGAGAGAGAGAGAGAGAGAGAGAGGGGCTACCGGGAGTCAGCTGTATTAGATTTTTTTGTAGCCTCCCAGAATGGCGCAGCCCATGAAACAGAGGAGTCTTGATTTTGCCCATAGCAAACATAGCACGATGGAAAAGTTAACGAGTTGACCATGTTTTGTTTTTACAAGTGTCTGCGGCCCCATCTGCCCTGCGGGGAGAGGGCTCCCTCACTGCTGAGTCTGAGCTGAGGCCATCTGGTGGGATCAAAGAGTGTGGGACTGTATCACCCGCCTTGAGGCTGCGGAAGGCCTAGGAGGTGGCTTCGCTCTGCAGGATTTCCGCCCTCTGCATCATGCTGAGTGGTGCTGTGGAGCTGTGAGGCACCTGAGGCTTCGCTTCTCGCAGCCTCTGGGGAGCAGAGTGGGTCACTGCCCTTCAGCAGCTTTTGCAGCAGTTTTGTAAACGTGTTGCTACCCGGTCAAGTTCCTTCTTGACAGATATTTTCGGTTTTGATGTTAGGAGTCAGTCTCTTAGACTTGCTTAAAAGAAAAAAAAAATCACCTCTTGTTTTGTAAAGAAAACAAAAGCTCCACACAGGGCTGCTGTTCCTCCTTCTTCCCCTTTTGCTTCTCTACATCCAGTGCTCCTTGGAGGCTCACCCTGAACCTTGTTAACCAGAGGAGTAATCGGTCTTCTGCCGGACCCGGCTGTGCATTTCACATGTTGTACTTGTCATTTTACGGGCTTGTCAGTTCCATCTAGTGAGTGCTGCATTAATGTCTTCGTTGGTTTCCCCGGCTGATCTTTTTTTAAAACTTAGCTTAGCCTGAGCCACGTTTTCTTTGTTTTTTTGGTTTTTTGGTTCACAAAGAGGATCTAATAACCACAGAGCGATTTTTACCACAACTGTGTGATTTGTAGTATTTCTGAAGTGTTCTCGAAGTCCATCCCAGTTGAGAGAAAATTTAAAGTTAGAAGAAATCCCTGGAGAAGTCTTCGCAGTGGGCTGTATTTCTGCTTTAAGAGACATGAGGATTAGTTAAAATTGCTAATTGAGCCTCGTCCTGGTCCCATCTGCATTTCAGAAAATAATCCACATCCTTATAACAAGTAGATGTGTTAACGCAAGCCGCTCTGGGGTGAGGAGATTATTCAGTGGTGATTACATAATGGGACAGCTCTTGTGGTTCTTATTCTTGAAACTCTACAAGAGGTCAGGCCTGAAGCTATGCAGGTCATACTGCCCAGTTGAGGCGACAGTCACTTCTTCTGAGCCCTGCTGGGATGGAACCTTCTTCCCCAAGGCTGTGGGAATCTTCCAGACTGTGCAGCTGTCCATGTCAGTGACCTCAGCCTTGCTCCATCCGGGCACCCATCTCGCTTAGAGTAGGTGGGGAAGCACCACAGGGTCAGCTTCTGTTCTCCAGGGTGAGCCTTGCAACAGAGACCTCACCATCCCGGAAGAGCTGTATTTTCCATGTCACTTTAGATGTCACCTAAACCGACGAGACATTCGAGATTTTCAGGTAGTAAATTGGGAAGCATTGGCTGCAATCCATAAAAGATAACTGTTGTCTGTATGTTAGGTGACTTGAGGTCACCACAGCCCCTGGGAACCTAGAGATGTGAGGCAGACTCTCCTTTGGAAGCCAGCGTCCTTCTGCCTCTAAAAGGGCAGTTTCACATTTTGACCACATTTTTGCATTAGCTGATAACCCTTCAGGGATGTGAGAAGCCTAATCAGAACATCGGAGGAAACGATACCTCTCACCTTCAGATTGATCAAATGGTTTGTCCTCCTAGTCCCCTTAAAAATTAATAAATTAGAGAAAGAATGCCGTCTGGTGTTGGTTTGGACACACTCCTTGAGCTGAGGCCAGTAGTCACGTGATTTTGTGAGTCTGCCAATAGGAAGCCTTCTAAGCAAAAGAGGCATGTGTCTCCCCTAACGCTTTGTTTATAGTGATGATTTGGCGAGCTTTTAGCTGTCTTAAAAAAGGCGATTGTCCACTTGGAGGGGAGCTCGGAGGGAAGCCGCGTTCACTCTGAATTCACACCAGGAGGGATTTTGCTGGAGAAGCAAGTGCCTCTGGCCAAAAAAGTAAGATTAAGATCTGAAAGGTGGACAGGCATTGCTTCTGTTCCTTCGGCAGTCGGCTAATAATTAACTCTGGGTTTCCTTTGGTTTACATTCTCAGTTCTTAACCCCAAACAGGGGCCCCTAGACCACCAAAAACGGCATTTAAAACGCTGGAGATGGCCTTTAAAAGGTACAAAAACAGCAGCATTGCCATATTCCAGGTTCATCACCATTTCCATATGCTCCGCATCCTTCCGTACGCACTGCAGCCCGGCCAGATATGGAGACCGCGTCATCACTGAGTTGAGAAACAAATTCTGGGTCTGGAACAATCACCTGCCAAATTGCTTACCGTCTGTGGAAGTTGTCTGTGGGGGTGTACCTTTCACAGAACATTTCAACAGTATAGTGAAATTGCTCTGGGCTTGACATCCCAGTCAGGCATTTGGGTCAAAATTGTAAGTCTTTAGGCCTCCTTAGGAAAAAGGAAAGATGCCTACGGCCCAGTGCTGGGCCTTGAGACTGTATCCCCCTCTCCCTAGGGTGGGGCGAAGCGGCACCTCCAGGAAATCATTTTTCCAGTGAGATTGTCCATAAATCCCGATGGGACTTATGAACCATAATCCCAGTGTGAACCTGTCGTAGCTCTCTGATGCTCCACTGAAAATGGTATGCTAGAGCGGCTCACAGATCCTTGCAGCTGCTTTCACCTCTTTGTGGTCCCATTGCGGGGAAGAAAAGCTTTTCAGGGTTAAACCTTGGTCTTTAACCTCTGGTTTGTTGTGGAGAAAATGTGTCACTGACACACGATCTGAAGAAGACCTCTGGTTTTGGTTACTCGAGTCCAGCAGCATGACGATATGCCGCACGCCAGGGAAGGTAGAGGCCGATTGCCGAGACACCCAGACCCCAGAGTGGTCCATTTCACAGCGAGCCTCCATAGGGAACGGGTCTGAAGTTAGGTCTTGGAGAACTTCCAGAGCCCTGAGGTGAAGGAAGGACTCCGAGGGCCTTTGCTCAGCAAGCAGGCAGCTTGTGCTCATCCCCAGAACATGAAGGAACTTCGAAGGGAATGGCAGGCGTCTGGGCCGCAGCCTGCAGACACGAACCTTCCCTTCTGCCGCTTCCCACATGGCTGTGCGCCTTTTGCTCTGAATCCAGGGGGAATCTCCTCTCCAAAATCGAATTTGCTTCTGTTTTGGTTAACCTCTGAGAACCTCACTCACCCTTTCACTCCCACCTGTGGATGGACGTAGACGTGTCGCTCGGGGCCCGGATGCGTAAGTGAGCATAGCCCAGCAGCACAGTGTTGTATTTAGTAGTTAGAAAAACAGCTGGTCCACTCTGTTATAAAAGAAATACAGTCTGTGGTACAGTTTTGTAAATATCAGGTCTGTTTTATTGCTTCGTGGTCTGAAAGCTTTCCGCCGGGTTTGTAATCAAGGAAGAGGCAGATGGCTAGAATAGGTAAAATTTAGTTAATACCTCTGTCTTAAGAAAGATAGCTGCCAGTTTGCCATGTGCGTAAGGAGGTCAGGAGCACTTGAGGACGTGGGGGGCTGTTGTGAAAGGAAAGCAGGTGGCTGTGGCCTGCCCACGTGTGTCAGAGAGAGAGGACGTGGAAGCCCGTTGGTAGCATCTTTAGATTTGCTCTGGCCGGCCCAGCCTTTACTTCGTGGATCTTGTCTCCCATCCTGTCCAACGACCTTGCTAGGGAATGGGCAGCGAGGCCCCAGCTCTGTTTGCCCAGCTACAGGGCGTGGCCTCCACACGGTACGAGGTTTCTTGAAGGGGCTTCCTCACTACGATTCCCTCCACGTCACTCATCTGCCGTCAGCATCAAAAAGGTTAAACTCCCCGGGACCATGCCAGTTGTAAAACAGGTGAACTGAATGTGCTTTTTTTTTTTCCCTTTCGCAAGTGTGTTGTCCAGATGCAGTCCCCCTTTGGCCAAGTTCAGCAGGAACTTCCAGGGAACCCCTTCAATTGAGGCAAGTAGCCAAGATGTTCTGAGTTTTTTCCCCAAAGTACAAAGTCTTTTGTCTCTTCCCCCTAGTGCTCATACATTTTAGCTGAATCTTAAAAGGTCAAGTCTAGTAATAGCTCCCTCCAGAACTGAGACGAGAGCGAGGGGCCCATGCCCCCGGGGACCAGTCCCCCGGGGCACCCCACATGCTCGAACTAGACTGTTCTGATCCCACCACGAGTCTGCTGCTGTCCGCTTCCATCAGGGCCACCCAGAAGAGCGGACAACTTCACCTTCCCATCATTAGGCCACCTAGCCCCCCGGTGACCATCCTGGAGGGAGAGTGTGTGTATCACCTGCCTCGGCGGTGTGCCTCCTGGTTGTAGACAGGGTAGAAAGTGGAACATCCAGTGGGCCAAGCACTGCCATCCTTGGAGAGGCTGGCAGAAATGACCCCAGCGAGCTCAGCACAACTGAGGAAACCAAGGAACGGCACTTATATGGGAGGAGGGGTTGGTTATGGTCCTTTTACCTCTTGGGACCTGATGGTGCAGTACGTGCAACTGGATTGGGAACCCTGTCACCCTTCCCCGCAGTGCAAATGCACCCCAGGACTTAGGAGCTTCCAACCCATGGGTGCACGGTCTTATTTTCCATTTCTTGTTTCCAAAACAATCTTGCTTGGTAGTGCATGGAAAGTCCCATTTTCCTTCCTTCCTCCCTCCTGGGGGCCACCTGCCCAGACCTGGCCCCTTCCCCAGTATCGTCCTAGCACTCGCAAGCAAGACCCGCGCGGTGCCCGGAGGCGTTGAGGGGAGTGGAATTTGGTCCGGAGCAGGCGGCAGATACTGAATATTCTGGCTTCCTCTTCTCAGGGAGGGTGTTTTTAGGCTTCCTTCACACCCCTCCCGTGGGTGCCATCGGGTTGTGGAGGGAGGGCTGAAGAGAAAGGGGGCGGTGTCCAGCCAGCCCAGGTTTGGGTCCGAGACAGGTACACGGACGTGAGTCCCACTCTCTCCCTTTACTGGCAGGCCCGTCGTATGTAACCTTTCACCTTTACTAAAGTGTCTGCTTCTGCCGTGCCAGCAACAGAGGACAGACAGACCCTTCCCTATAGTCTGGATAGAGCTTTGGTACTTGCCCTAAAGTTTCACCGTCCCCACATCCCACTCCTTTTTGTAAAAACGATGCTTAAGCCTGTGAGCGTGCTGTTCCTTTCTATGTGTCAATCAGTTTCCTTCCATTTGAGCTGTGTGGGAGGGAAGGGCATTGGAATTGTAGGTTGTAATCTTGTGCCAACCAATAAAAACCAGTATTTCACACACATCCCTGCTCAGTGTCTGGTCTCTTCTTTCTCGAGGTTTTCCTCGAGACACCAGTCTTCTTTGGGTTTCACCCACCCCCCGCTCTCTGCTGAGGTCTTGAGAGTCAGAGGTGGCCCTGTTCGAGGGAGAAGCGAATTGGGAGAAGCCCATGGCAGGCGGCGAGACTCGGCGCTTGGTTGCCACCAGCCCTGCTGCGGGGTGCCCAGGGAGACTCGGGTGGCCTGCCCCCCCCCCATCCCAGTGGGGCTTTCTTTCCTTAGGAGCCCAAAGGGGTATGGAAGAGAGGTGAGCCACATCTAGGACAATACGAGAGTACGGCAAGAAGTTGCTTTCCTGTGTGGGACCAGGAGTTGGCTGCGGGAGAGTCAGGAAGCCTTTATTTCAAGGACCTTGTCTCCCGTCCTCTCCGGTGATTTGGGGACGGCTGGAGAGGACGGGATGGGCTAAAGGGCCGGAGCCGCGTTCGGAAGAGGTGTAGCGGCAGGACTTGCGGGCAGAGGAGAATGGGCAGGAGCCATCGGTGGGAGAGCCACGCTGAGTAACCTGGGAGACCAACAGAGAACATTTTGGGCTGTCATGAAAAACAAAGCATGATGAGGCCAAATTACGAAAGACCGGGAAAGCCCGGCCAAGGAGTTTGGCTTGGTACACGTAAAGCATTCCTGAACGAGATAGTCCCGTAATGCCGCCCGTGTTTGAGGAGGAGGCAGCAGGAGAGGTCGGAGAGGAGTGGTTTGGAAGCTTGTGCTGCCCAGTCCATGAGGTGATCCGGACTCAGGGAGTGAATGAACCTGGGGATGAAGAGAGGGCTATAGAAGCAAGAATAAAGAGCATGTCACGATCAGATAAACACGTCCATCCGCTGAGGCGGGCCGGCCTTCCTGAAATTCTGGTGGCTTCACCGCTAGCCAAGTTTCGTAAGCGAACAAACCTGATGCAGTCCGTGTACCCAGAGGGTCACTACCAGGCTGAGACTCACACGGAGACCTAACTCACGATGGACTGAGGTGGATGTGCCGGGACGACAGTTGGCTCTTGTATATGATGATAAACGTCAAACCAGGTTAACCTGGTTAGTGCAGTGGCTATCTGTGTGGGTAGCCAAAAATAGGCAGGAAGTTGGTTACGGAACAATAATAACCCGATGACTTCATTCCACCAAGGGCAAGTGCCCTATCAGTTGGCCAGGGCCACCCTGGGCCCCTAAACTCTGATTCCGCAGCCCTCCTTTGTCCGTCCTGTGATGATCACCCCTCCTTTATCAAAGGATTCCTTCTTGTGCCAGATTGAGTGTGCACAACGAGGCCGTGAGCTTATAAATGCTGACACAAGGGATGTGCTATACTTAACGAAACTACCAGATGGCAATCTCTAATGGGGATCTGGGGTCCCCAGAACTCTCCACTCTCCCGTGTCCGACTGTGACAGGCCATTACGCAGGTGGCCCATCACCATCACATTCACTACATGCTGATTGTTCTTCACCCTCGGAGGATAGATGCAAACTAGGATTATTTTGCTGCAGCCCGGTGTTTCTATAGCCTGTAGGACAAGAGAGAGGTCTGTAGGGTCCCCAAAACTTTGTGCACGGGTGAGGGGAGGAAATGAGCTCAAAGGACACCAGTGCAGCTCTGACCATCCAAGCCAGACTTAGGTTGGCACAATTCTCGCCCATCCCTCAGGCAGGCTGGCTCCCATCCTCTCCAGAGACCTGATAATCGTACCCAAGAAAGCCTGGCGTTGTAAACCATGGTCTTGTTTGCTTACCGGTTTCAGTCACATTTGGGGTGTGAAAGGTTTATTTTACCTCCTCGGTCTTGTGACACCCAGCGAACAGCCTGTGAGGATGCAGCCACGTGGCTCCATGTTCTGTGTCCTGAATACCAGCATCGTGCTAACCCCAGGACACACAGTCCTCACAGAGGCACCTGCTTGGGTGACAGATGGCATGAAATCGGAGAGATGACAGCCTGGGGAGGTAAGCCATTACGGGTGGGGTGAGAGGGGACGGTGGAGAGAGCTCAAGCAGGAGGACCATAGGGTGGAAAAGAGGAAGGGACGGGGCGCCCGGGTGGCTCAGTCGGTTGCGTATCCAACTTGGGCTCAGGTCACGATCTCACAGCTCGTGGGTTCGAGTACCATGTCGGGCTCTGTGCTGACAGCTCAGAGCCTGGAGCCTGCTTCCGATTCTGTGTCTCCCTCTCTCTCTGCCCCTCCCTTGCTCGTGGTCTCTCTGTCAAATAAATAAACAACAGGGGTGCCTGGGTGGCTCAGTCGGTTGAGCAACCGACTTCAGCTCAGGTCACGATCTCAGGGTTTGTGAGTTCGAGCCCCACATCGGGCTCTGTGCTGACAGCTCAGAGCCTGGAACCTGCTTCCGATTCTGTGTCTCCCTCTCTCTCTGCCCCTCCCCCACTCGTGCTCTGTCTCTGTCTCAGAAATAAATAAACATTAAAAAAATTTTTTTAAATAAATAAAAAAAAATTTTTTTTAAGAAAAGAGGGAGTCGGAAAAGGGAGGAAAGACACGTCGAAAGGCTGCCTGCTGTAATAAAAGATGCAATTAGACCGGGTTCAGGTCTCAGCTGCTGACAGGCTCTGTGATCTTGGACAAGTTACCATCCCTGTTCCCTCCTATTCGGTGGGAGAGAAGTCTCTTTTTGGTGATTGTCGTGAGCCTTCAATAGGTGAAGGAATGTGTGGACGGGGCACCTGGGAGGCTCTGTGAGTTAAGTGTCCGACTTCGGCTCAGGTCATGATCTCGTGGTTCACGAGTTCAAGCCCCGCATTGGGCTCTGTGCCGGCTGCTCCGGATTCTGTGTCTCCCTCTCTCTCTGCCCCTCCCCTGCTCACTCTCTGTCTCTCTCTCTCAAAGTAAAATAAAATAAAAAACATTAAAAAAATAAATAGTAAAAATAAAGGAATGTGTGCAACGTCCAAGTTGGTGCGTGATCATCAAATGGTAGCCGTGAGTGGACACCTGTTTGGGAATCGCCAAGGGCCGTGCCAAGGTCACTGAGTCACAGCACATAGAAGTCATCACAACGCAGAGGAGTGACAAGTGCAATAAAGAGAAGGCTGAGGGAGGGACTGAGGAGCCGCCGTCTGGGATTCAGAGGGCTGAAGGAATTCTCAGCTGAGGGGACAGCGTGTGCAAGGGGAGGCCACGGCACCGTGCTCGTGTAACGGCAAGTTGTCTGGAACACGGAGGAGAGAGAGAGACGGGAGGTGCCGCGGGAAAGGTCAGCTGGGGTCAGGTGGCTTGGCAGGCCGTTTGAACTTTACTCCGCATGACTGGGAAGCCAACAAAGGTTTTAAAACAGAGCAGTGACTGCATCGGGACGGGCATCTGAGGAAGACGATACCAGCATCTGCCGAGCGGCCCCGGTGTTCCGGGCCCTATGGCCCAGCAGTGTGTTCACGGCTCTGCATTCACATTTCGGCTCTGCATTCCCGCGACGCGTAGGACCTATATCATCGCCACTGTGTGGTAAAGGCTTAGGGAAGCAGACTGCTTTTGAAAGGAATTGGACCAACTCATTCGAAAAAATCGTAGGGTAAAGTGCCAAGGACGCCTAACGATAATTGTGAAAAACAAGGGAGAATACCGGGCTACGAGGAAGTCCTGTGTTCTGTCTGTAGTAAGACTTAATATTGGGGGTGGGGGGGGGTGCCCGCCTGGCTCAGCCTGTAGAGCACGCAACTCTTGATCCCGGGCCGTGAGTTCGAGCCCCACGTTGAGGGTAAAGATGACTTAAATAACAAACCTTAAAAAAAGGGAATCAGATACCATTAAAAAAAAGATTTCGGGGCGCCTGGGTGACTCAGTCGGTTGTGCGTCCAACTTCAGCTCAGGTCATGATCTCGCGGTTCCCAAGTTCAAGCCCCGCATCGGGCTCTGTGCTGACCGCTCGGAGCCTGGAGCCTGCTTCTGATTCTGTGTCTCCCTCTCTCTCTGCCCCTCCCCCACTCATGTTTTGCCCCCTCTCTCTCCCCCTTCCTCTCTCTCTCTCTTAAAAATAAATATGTATTAAAAAAAATTAGAAAAAAAAGATTTCCTATAGGGGCAACCTGAGAGGCTTAGTCAAGTGTCCAACTCTTGATTTTGTCTCAGGTCGTGATCTCATGGTTCAGGAGATCAAGCCCCGCATCAGGCTTTGCACAGACATCGAGGAACCTGCTTGGGATTCTCTCTCTCTGTCTGTCTCTCCCTCCCCCACTTGTTCTCTCTGTCTCAAAATAAATAAACTTTAAAGAAAAGAAAATTTCATATAAAGATATAGTAACTAAAACAATGGGATAGAGAAGTAAATGAGACAATAGAACAGGAGAGGGGACCGAGAAACAGACCCATGCAAGTTGGTAATATGTAAAGAGCCAGAGGCACCATGCACCTGAGTGGGGAAAGACCGGGTTCTTCAGCAAATGGTGTTGGAAGAGCTGACTGGCCAAATGGAAAAAAATAGATTTAGCTCCTTACAACATACATGAAAATAAGTTCACAAATGTGTAAAATGAATACCTTTTAGAATAAAAATAGAAGTTCAGTAATAGATCTGGGGCCACCCAGGTAATAAATGGAGACACTGTATCTCGTCAAGCCTGAGGGGTCTGGTGCCAGATCCTGCCCTCTTAACCCACTCAGTAGGTGCTCTGTCCCGGTCCCTTCAGAGTGTTAGACAGACCAGTGCAAACAGACACTGAAGGCAGGGCGGTGGCGATTGGAGGCTGGATTGGCAGCCGGTCCCCACATACCTTACGTGAAGGATCGCTGGGGAGGCAGAGGGAGGGACTGTCGCCATATCACCATCACTCAGTCGACAGATTGGGCACCGATGATGGCCCACCCCCTGCCCGGTGTCCGTGTGAGAGAGACCATCACAAGCTCAACAAACGTTTACCGAGGGTGGTCGTGTTACCGGGTGGGTGTGAGAAGGATAAAAATAAGGCAATGGCAGTGCATCGTTGCGTGGTAGGGCTGGGAGGATTTGGGAGATCAACTGTCCAGTCCTCTCGTTTTACAGATTGGGAAATAGGCATGGTGAGAAGGGACTTTTCTCTTTTTTCACAGTATTCTTGTTTGGAACCCTGAGCAAAGAACACAGCTCCCTGGCCGTGTTGTAAATAACCAGCTCCTCTGTCTTTCTTGGCGTGAAATTATCTTTTTAGTTTTTTAAGTTTATTTATTTTGACAGAAAGAGTGTGTGTGAATGGAGGAGGGGCAGAAAGAGAGGGAGAGAGAGAATCGCAAGCAGGATCCCTGTTGAGAGCGTGGACCCTGAGGCGGGGCTCGATCCCACAAACTGTGAGATCATGACCTGAGCCGAAATCAAGAGTCGAACACTGGGGCGCCTGGGTGGCTCAGTCAGTTAAGCGGCCGACTTCGGCTCAGGTCATGATCTCGCGGTTTGTGAGTTCGAGCCCCCCATCAGGCTCTGTGCTGACAGCTCAGAGCCTGGAGCCTGCTTCGGATTCTGTGCCTCC